ATTTTAATCAGAAACAAACATGGGCTAAATTTGAATTTTTTTTACATAATCTCCCAAAAAAAAAAAAGATTAAAAACTTACTTAAAGCCTAGCAAAACTCTAGTAGTTAATTTTGCCCTAAATTATTCATCTCTCTCTCTCTCTCTCTCTCTCTCTCTCTCTCATGTGACTGCAATTTTTCTTAGCCCTACTCCCGAAACACACCCACCAGCCCTTCCTCGATAACAAAAAACACACTGTCTTACTTATTTTTACCATACCATCAATAGACAGTAAAATAATGACTTATTTCAACTTTTAACTTAAAAAAAAACCCTCCTATTAATTTTTCCTCTTTATGCACGCCCTTCCTTGACACTTAGTAGTTTAGACAACATAATTTTTTCCATAAGTAATTATTTTTAAGTACTACTTTTGCTTTTCACAATCCCCTAAGCTGCCTCACTCCTATTATCATCAAACTCTACTTCTCCCAATGCATTTAGCTACATATTTTTCATGGAGTACGTACCGACTCTGAAAACTTTGAAATTTATCCCTCTAATTTCTGGAAATTATTCATTGACAAAAAGATCCTTGTCTTTGAATAGGAGTGAACTTCATGCAAAGGATGTTATAGTCATTCAATGTGACCTACCTCGTATTATACTATGGAAGTCGATCACATGTATATATTTAGATATTGTCTTCAATACGTCTATGATTTTTATAAATAACAAAATTTTAAATCAAAATCAACAATTGATTTGAGCTGTATATTTTATGGAACTTAAGACCTTTCAACTATACATTTCATCGACGGATATAATTAGCTACCTCAATAAAAAATTTATAATGTTTGAACTTTGAAGTATAATAATTTGTTTATGTAAATGGTTGGTTGTAAGCTAAGGAAAGAAGTATTCAAGAAATAACTGAAATATCAATTTTATCCCAATGTAATTTAGTTGTCTTTGCATGAATTATGGGGGCAATTTGGGAACTCCAAACAGCTCACAAGGACTTAATAAACAGTGTCTAGAAAGCAGGAACTATTAATCAGTGGCGCCCTAATCTGCGTATTTTATCTTAAACTATTTGGTATTTAAATGCCTCTTCACACTTTGATACACTCAAAAAAATTTGTCACACACAGAAGAACTTGAATCTCTCCGCCTCCACAACCGCCACTACCACCGCAACTCCCACTGTAAACCCTAAAAAAATGCATACAAAATGCTTAAAATGGTCATTACCAGAGAAGTGAACTTAACAAGAACTTGGAGCTGAGAGCACAGATCGCTACCATTGTAACCACTAGTACTGGTACTATCGCCGCCGCCTGCACCGCCGCTCATTCGGTGGAGCTGAAAGAAGGAGGAGCTCATCTCAAGTAAGAAGTTAAAACTACTGCATTAAATATACAGGAGGCGATAGCTTTTGTTCACGTGCATGGATTTTTTCCACATGGTGTGAGTTTCAAGCATCCCCACCACCACAAAACCCTCTTTCACATGCATTCTGTCTCCCTAGAGTGGACTTTCACCACCGCCTCCTCCTGCTCCACCACCGCAGTCACCATGCTTTGAATCTTAGCACATATAGTTTGAGTTTGAAGCATCCCCACCTCCAAAGAAAAACCTCTTTCACGTGTATGTTATCCTTCAGAGTGAACTTTCACAACCACCCTTCTCCACTGTCGCAACCGCCACAACGACCACATCGTTTTTGAGGTTTAAGCCCATTTCAAGAACTTTAAATGGAGAAAACATGCCATTTTGTTAACCCAAATGTCCCATTTTTTATGCTTTTCTTCTGGTTTAGCTTGAGTTTTAGAACACTTTTAGTGAACTCTCTCTCTCCAGATGGAGAAGCCCTTCTCTCTCTACTCTCAGCAGCTGATCCTTATTACAAAAAATTGTCGCCAATACTCTCCTCGTGGAACCCTTCTAGCTTAACTCCATGTTCATGGCAAGGAATCACTTGTTCCCCACAAGAAAGAGTCATTTCACTTTCTCTCCCAAATACATTCCTTAATCTTTCATCTTTACCCTTAGAACTTTCTTCACTTTCCTCTCTACAGCTTCTTAATCTCTCCACTACAAATATTTCTGGTTCAATACCTCCTTCCTTTGGTTCATTGACTCATCTTCGCCTTCTGGATTTGTCTTCCAATTCACTTTCAGGGCCTATTCCGCCAGAATTAGGCCGGTTAACGGCACTTCAGTTTCTATTCTTGAATACAAACAGACTCACTGGTACAATCCCAAAACAACTTGCCAATCTTTCTTCACTAGAAGTCCTTTGCCTTCAAGATAATCTCCTAAATGGGTCGATTCCGTCCCAACTCGGGTCTTTAGGCTCTCTCCAGCAGCTTAGAATTGGGGGTAATCCATATCTAACCGGTGAAATTCCATCACAATTAGGCCTACTTACCAATCTCACAACATTTGGTGCTGCTGCCACTGGACTCTCTGGTGTTATCCCACCTACATTTGGAAACTTGATTAATCTTCAAACATTGGCACTTTATGATACAGAGGTATTCGGTTCAATACCGCCTGAATTAGGTGAGTGTTTAGAGTTAAGAAATTTGTATTTGCACATGAACAAGCTCACTGGTCCTATCCCTCCTCAACTGGGCAAGTTGCAAAAGCTCACTAGCATGCTTCTTTGGGGAAATTCCCTCTCCGGGACTATCCCCTCTGAACTTTCCAATTGTTCATCTCTTGTTGTGCTTGATGCCTCTGCAAATGATTTATCCAGCGAAATTCCTGGCGATTTGGGGAAACTATTGGTTCTTGAACAAATTCACTTGTCTGATAATGCACTCACTGGTTCCATACCGTGGGAACTGAGTAACTGCACTAGTTTAACAGCTCTTCAGCTCGATAAGAACCAATTATCAGGCCCTATTCCAACGCAGATTGGTGAATTGAAGTACTTGCAGAGTTTTTTCTTGTGGGGTAATTCTGTTTCAGGAACTATACCACCCGCTTTTGGGAATTGTACAGAGCTTTATGCGCTCGATCTCTCAAGAAATAAGCTTACGGGATCAATCCCGGACGAGATATTCAGTTTAAAGAAACTAAGCAAGCTGTTGCTGCTGGGGAATTCTTTATCTGGAGGATTACCGCAAAGTGTAGCAAGATGTCAGTCTCTAGTAAGATTAAGACTTGGAGAAAATCAGCTTTCGGGTCAGATTCCAAAGGAGATTGGACAACTGCAAAATCTCGTGTTTCTTGATTTGTATATGAACCATTTTTCTGGTGGTTTACCTTCTGATATTGCCAACATTACTGTTCTTGAGCTGTTGGATTTGCACAGCAATTATATGACGGGTGATATCCCGCCTCAGTTGGGGGCTCTTGTTAATTTGGAGCAGCTTGATCTTAGTAGAAACAGCTTCTCTGGTGAGATTCCATGGAGTTTTGGTAATTTCAGTTACTTGAACAAACTTATCCTAAACAATAATCTGCTCACCAGAGAAATTCCAAAGTCCATTAGGAACTTGCAGAAACTAACTCTTCTTGATTTGAGCTCCAATAGTCTCTCTGGTCCAATACCCCTTGAGATTGGTTATTTGACAAGCTTAACAATCAGTCTCGATTTGAGCTCAAATCGATTCACGGGTGAAATCCCTGAGACAATGTCCAGTTTGACACAGTTGCAATCACTAGACCTCTCACGGAACACTCTACATGGAAAAATCACAATTCTAAGTTTTCTCACCAGTCTTACTTCCTTGAATATTTCATACAACAACTTTTCTGGTCCAATACCCGTGACACCATTCTTTCGAACTTTAACCTCGAATTCTTTCATCGAAAATTCCCGCCTCTGCGAATCTCTCGATGGTGCTACTTGTTCTTCGCATTTGATGAGCGGAAAAGGATTGAAGTCTGCCAAGACTATAACTTTGGTCGCTGTGATTGTGGCTTCAGTGACAATGGCAGTTGTGGCTACCTGGATTCTAGTGTCTCGAAATCACATGTCTGTAGTCGAGAAGTCCGGTTTGTCCAACTCGTCTGGAGAAGAGGATTTTTCTTATCCGTGGACTTTCATCCCATTTCAGAAGCTGAACTTCACTATTGAAAACATCTTGAATTGCTTGAGAGATGAAAATGTTATTGGAAAAGGCTGTTCTGGGGTGGTTTTCAAGGCGGAGACGCCAAATGGTGATTTGATTGCAGTTAAAAAGCTTTGGAAAACGAAGAAAGACGAAGAACCAGTGGACTCTTTTGCTGCTGAAATTCAAATTCTTGGACACATTAGGCACCGGAATATAGTGAAGTTACTGGGATATTGTTCAAATAAGAGTGTTAAGCTACTTCTCTACAACTATATACCAAATGGAAATCTCCAACAGCTTTTGCAAAACAACAGGAACTTGGATTGGGAAACGAGGTACAAGATTGCAATTGGATCAGCTCAAGGTCTTGCTTATCTTCATCATGATTGTGTGCCTGCTATTCTTCATAGAGATGTGAAATGCAATAATATACTCTTGGATTCCAAATATGAGGCTTATTTGGCAGATTTTGGACTAGCAAAGCTAATGAATTCTCCAAACTACCAACAAGCAATGTCCCGAGTAGCTGGTTCCTATGGATATATTGCACCAGGCAAGTGTTATTCAACTTTGGTTTCCTTTCTTTTGTTATTATCATTGTTTAATCTAGTAATATGTATTAAATGTGCTAAATAATTAGTTGTTTTGATCTCCGATATTGCAGAATATGGGTACACCGTGAATATTACAGAAAAGAGTGATGTCTATAGTTATGGGGTGGTTTTACTCGAGATTTTAAGTGGACGTAGTGCTGTTGAATCGCAGATTGGAGATGGGCTACACATAGTAGAGTGGGTAAAGAAGAAGATGGGAAGCTTTGAACCAGCTGTGACTATACTTGACTCAAAGCTCCAAGGTTTGCCGGACCAGATGGTGCAAGAAATGCTCCAAACACTCGGAATAGCTATGTTTTGTGTGAATTCATCACCTGCTGAAAGGCCAACGATGAAGGAAGTGGTGGCACTTCTTATGGAAGTGAAGAGTCCACAGGAGGAATCGGGGAAAACTTCTCAGCCCTTGATAAAACAGTCCTCAAATCAAAGCTGATTCTTTTTGTTTGGTTATAGTATTTTTCATCTTTAGAGGATTAGTGGTTGATTTTCTTTCCTTATTTCCAATATGAAGGGGAGTACAGTTGTTGCATGAAGCGAGAGAAAAGTTCTACTCCCAAAATTGGACAATGTCTTTGAGATATCCATGTACAGTTTTAGTGACATTAGCATTGTTAATTGGCTTCAATCTTTATCTTCCAACTGCGTATCAAACACATGAATAGGGGCACCAGTCGGCTTTTCCTACGACCAAGCAGGATTTGTGCCCCGGCAATCTCAGAACCCCCAGCTTCTTTAACGCTATTATATTTGACACGGGTTTGCCGTAATTATAATTCTCACAATTCGACCACATGGCTAAAACCGAAAGAAGAGTTGTACCAAAAGATTTTAAAGAACCAATTTCTACTTTGATGTTTCTAACTTCCAAAATTACCAAAGCTCCCAACAAATCTTGGCAGTCCAACTGCTGATATTCATGCAATAAGGCCATCCAATTTGACTTCACTACCCACTAATTATAATCTTGCTAAATCCAAAACAACAGTATGTCCTTTTCCAATACTTGGGTATGTAATGTGTAAGCAGACCCTTGAATCACATGCACCAAAAGCTAGTGAGGTGCATGAATTCAACGGTCAAGATCTGCAGAAAAGAAGCAGAAAAACTGGATATGGGGCGTGGGGGAGTATAGTGCTCTAGAGGAAATATTAAACAAAGTGATGAAGATTTTAGAAATTGTAGTCCAAAATATTGTAATACACAGAAGGGGACACAAGGGACTACTTCCCATTCCCCACATGCCTTTGAGGAACAGTCAAAAATGTCTTAAAAAATCCCTGGTCCTGATTCTCTTACATTGTTGCAAACGGTATTTTATTTTGTTTCATGTCATTGAAAAGTAGAACTGGTCAAAAGAAAATCTTGTTATGTCATAAATTTCATGTTCTGGTTTTTGTCATTTTATTCCTTTGTATTTATTGATAAGAACTATGGAATATGGCCATACTCTGTTTTTAATGTAACACAAGAAAATGAGGAGGGGAAAGAATTATTCACATAAAGAGTCAAGAATGGGAGGAACATAGAAGCACAATTGGGCCCCTTGAAAACTCTCTAGAATAACCTTTCAATTAATGTCGGAGTAGCATAATTTGATAGGGATGACAAAATATCTTAACCCTATCCTACGGAGTGTACTCACTCTGAATATTATTTTATATTCTTTTACATTTTTTTGACTCAATTATTTCCATATTTTTAAATTTAAATAGTTTTTAATCTTAAATAAATAAGTAAATAACCATTTAAATTCTACCTCGCCCCAGCCCCTGAAAATCCTATGTGGGACAGGAAACGGGAAGGGCAACTTGAGTCTCAGCTCCACCTCGTGAAAATCCTGTGTGTGACAGGAGATGGGGAGGGCGGCTCGAGTCGCAGCTCACTCAATAATCATCCATAAATCTAATTATATTTCGCAATTTCATTATGTGCGTAATTGGCTAATTGCTCACTTCATGTGTACCGGTCATGCCCATAGATGGCATAAACGTAGGGCTTGCTATGGCTATGGAAACAATTTTCATGTTATCCAACTCAATCATGAAGACATCCCGAGGGGATGTTGATTTGAGAACTTATATTAGACAAGCCTGTGTGGAAGAACATACTAGAGTCGCAGCTCACTCAATAACCTTCCCTAAATCTAATTATATTTCGCAATTTCATTATGTGCGCAATTGCTCACTTCATGTGTGCTAGTCATGCCCATAGATGGCGTAAACATAGGGCTTGCTATGGCTATGGAAACAATTATCCTGTTATCCAACTCAATCACGAAGAGATCCCAGGGGATGTTGATTCGAGAACTTAGACTAGTGAAGCCTGTGTGTGGAAGACCATACTAGAGTCGCAGCTCACTCAGTAATCATCCCTAAATCTAATTATATATCCCAATTTCATTATGAACGCAATTGCTCACTTCGTGTGTCAGTCATGCCTGCAGATGGAGTAAACGTAGAGCTTGCTATGGCTATGGAAACAATTATCCTATTATCCAACTCAACCACGAAGAGATATCGGGTTATCAGTTTGGGGATGTTGATTCGAGAACTTACACTAGTGAAGCCTGTGTGTGGAAGAACATACTCATGGGAGGAAAATACTAGCTCCCGGATTTCTCGGGGGTGATAATATGACTCTGCAGTAAATATCATCACCCCTGCAAAACCACCACGTGCTCTTCCATGGAAATAACTAAGTTTCAAAATCCTTCACATTTTGTAAGGTTCCATCTGTAATCATGTGAAGCGACAAAAATTTTACATAAAAAGTCTGGAAGCTATAAAAAAAATTGACTTCATTGCATTATAATGAAATATACAAAGTAAATTTCATATTCGCTATGTAACACATCCACGACACCATTTCAACCTCGTGCAAACCTAATTTAACTGTTGCCTTCTCTTGATACGGTCCTACAATCTAGACAATCAATTTTACAAGGATGTCAAGTGCAAATTCAGGCGGCCTTCACTGAGCTCCGACCCCTAAATCCAACAACATTTAGCTTTTGTGTAGATCGAAGGACACCAGAATTTTTGTTCCCGGATTGTTTCTTCCCACCAGACCTCGTACCTCTCGAGCTGCTGCTATTGCCAGAAGACTTTGATGTCTTATAGACCTTACTTCCCGTCGTCTTAGGTTTGTATGTAGAAGCTTTTCCAGATTTTTGGACAGAGGATTTAGTAACTAATGACTTTCCACGGGCATCTGATGATTTTTTCACAGAAACTTTAGCCTTGTTTTTTGAGTTCGAAACTCTTACCAGCTTCTCGTTTCTTTCCTTCTGCACATTTATTCGCGACCTGGCATTGTCCCGTTTAACACTATCTACAGAAAGAGATTCCAAGCTTTCATTCTTCATCATGGCCTCTTCAATGTGATTGGCCAACATCAAATCCTTTTTAGCAACCAAACTAGTCACCTTCCCTAAATATTTAAAGAAGGTAATCCAAATTTAGAATTTTGACAAAAGTTCTCAGACTTGGGAGAATAATATCAAACATAAGAGTATGCTATGTCCATTAACAAAGAAGAAATGCAAGCTTGTTTGGATTACATTATAATGGAATTATAATGAAGAGTAATGGATCCCAAGTGTAGATAATAAGTGGAAGTTGTGAATATATGGTAAAATTAATGTGACTTAACTTCAAATTATAAGGAGATTATAATGAAACCAGAACAATCCAAGTAAAATGACTTAATAAATGCAAAAAGAAAAAAGGCAGCAAATCATGTTTATCTGTACAGGTTGGGAAGGAAGGAAACAGATAGAAAGGCTAAATCAAGCCGCTCACAAATAGCACAGTAAACAGCACCATTGGCCATGTTATAGCTAATATTTATGAATTAAAACATCTTATTTAGGGTGTGTTTGATCCACATTATTTTGGAAGAATGTATTTTGGAATAGTAGATTGATGGAGAATGCGTGGTTGAAAAAGAAGGAAAAGTTATTGATGTGATGGAAAATATTATTTTATTGCAGAATGTNGATGGAAAATATTATTTTATTGAAGAATGTGTGGTTGAAAATGAGTAGAAGAATGAGAATGAAAATTTTAATGTAAATCAAACAGGGGCTTAACAAAACTTACATGAACCAACTTGGTTCCAAGTCATAAAGTTATGTCTTTTGCAATTATAAGAGGAAAATTTCTAATAGAAAATATATTCACGTCTAAATGTATGTAATGCAGGATGACTATGCTTGATATTGCAGAGTTCTATGAAATTCAACCAGATATGCATGTGTGCGCAAGAACACATAAAACCGTGTCACTAAAAATCCAACATATTAATAAATCGATCCCTGTAATGTACGATTAGGGGGAATAATCCAATACAAAAACAAACTGCTACAGTGTTTCTTTCACTTTTCAAGTCCTAACCCAAGGAAACTGAAAAAGTTACCTTTTGCACCCATGCGAGCAGTTCTTCCAGTGCGATGGAGGTAGTCAATCTAAAAAGCCAATGAGAAGAAGTATTTACATATTTGGTTCAGAAGTAGAAGATAGAGAGAAGAGAGGATTGTTCAAAGGAATCAAAGATGAAGCTTACAGAGTTTAACGGGAAATCAAACATGATAACATGATCCACATCCAAGTCCAATCCCCTAGCAGCCAAGTCTGTGCAGACCAAAGTGGGGCAATCTCCATCATTGCTCTTGAATTTTTGCAGGTTTTCGACCCTGTATCAGAGAAACATGACATCAGTCTAGACTCTAGACAAGAGAGAAAAAAGATACTGAAGAAATCCTTCAGAGGCTAAAAATGTAGAGTTAAAGTGCAACTGGAATTCGAGATGGGTGTATCATATCTTTTTGCAGTTAAAATCCGGGAAGTTGATAACTTTCTTGAAGCTTTAGAATATGTTTTGGCAGCTCAAAACTTATTTTTCTAGAAAGTAAATTTTGTTAGGAAAAACAAAAAATGTTGGAAATAACGTTTGGCAACATAAGCAAAAAAGTATGTTTGACTTGCCTCTAAACATAGCCAAACATCTTTTTTTTATATCAGGAAACTTCCCCACGAGAATCTTTAAATTTACATAAACCCCTCTAGTACATTCATTCATGACCATACCACTTCCGTAACTTAATAGATGCAATCATGAATTGCATGTGCACTGACACAAAACAAAGATAAGAGCACCATATGTCATCTCACCTTTGTTCTGCTGGGACCTCTCCGTGGTAATTGACAGTAGAGAGTTGATTTTCATTCAAAAAGTGATCAACAGCTCGACTAGAATTTAATGTGTTACAGAAAACCATCACTCTGTTCCCTTTTGCTAAACTAGGCTCCAGAACCTGCAATTGCAAAATCACATCAAACAAAAAATGAGTCTTCTTTGAGAAACAGGAACAACTTTGTCCGTGTAACACATTTATGACTTTGCTCAAAGGGAAGAATCTACAATGAAAAATATAAAAGAATGAACTCACTTTTAGAAAATTGATGTAATACAAAAACAAAGATTTTTCTCATGTTTTATGTTCATTCAGAAGTTCTATGGATTTGTGGTTTTTCAAAGTCTTGACTTATTTTTAAACCTGAAAAGTGGATTGCAGGCTAATATAATTAAAGAATGACAAAGAGAGAAAGAAATAGTGGACCTGTAACAATGCTTCCAACTTATTTTCTGAACCTGAAAGTTTGATGAAATCATGACGAGCAGAAGCAATCTTCTTATGGAGTGTAGAAGTACGCAAATGTATAATTCCTTGAAACTCCTCATCAACCAGCTTTTGCACCGCCTACAAAATGTAGCATATTTTAATTGGTCAGCAACCTCAAAGAAGAGTGATGGAAATATATGGGCTACCATAACTGTCAAAGAAAAAAGGCACAATTCCACCAAAGTGCAATCTAGTTACAATTGGTTTGAAACACCATCTGCTAATCCCTAGAATATATGATGATCAAGAAGCATCAGAATCTAGAGGTCACACAAGGAAGCACTTTTCCATTAGTTTCAATCATTTAAAAGAAGCTCAAGACATGGAAAATCATCCTATGAAGCCGTACTTTATTTTTATTTTGCTTTTAGGCAAGTCATAAATGTGCTAAGATCAACTAGATGTACCTTTGTCATTGTTGCAGTGACCATAACAGTTTGAAATCCTTCACTGTCGGCTTTAGATGCACGATTGTTCAATGGGGCAAGAAATTTGCGGATGTCAGGACCAAAGCCACGATCAAACATGGTATCTGCCTCATCCAACACCTATCCAGAGATTGCCAGAATTATCAAGTTCTGGTGGAAACACAAAAGTGACAAACTTCTAAGAATGCCACAAAGTTGCTATTAGTATATGAATGTGAAATGATCAGAGGCAGTAGTTACCACGTATCTGATGTCACCATAAACCATATTGCCCTCTTCAATATGTTGGAGAACCCTGCCAGGGGTCCCCACAACCATGTCAACTGGGCTGTTCAAGGAATCCTCTTGGGGTCTTAAACGCCCTCCACCGCTTACCATGGTTGACCGGAATCGAGCATGGTGACTAATAGACTTGGACACTCGAAACACCTGCAACATGAACCAATAATTCATTGAACAAAGTAAGAGTAGAGTCACTTCAGAGATCTGTAGGAAGATGAATAAACCTGCTCACAAAGCTCCCTTGTTGGGCAGAGTACAACAGCTCGAGGGCGCCTGGGTTTCATTAGCATACCGTGTAAAGTTTCATCTCTTCTCAGCAGCTAAAAGATTAAGGATATCGTAATTCATGAGCAACAAATATCTTACAAAATAGGATGCTGCAATATAGAAGTAAAATAAGTGTCTAAACCCGAAACATTAACTAAGTGAAATCAAATTAACTATCAGGTCCTCGAGAATTTGAGAACAGAAATTCTCAGGGTAATTAGGACTTGAATTGAACTTGACAGATGATTCAAGAATATATGCTCCCAAAAGAAGGCAAACGACCCAGTACAGTATTTTTTTCCACCATGAAAATGCCATTCTACTGAAAAATGGATTTTTTTCTTCTAAATAAATTGTTTTCGTTTTGGCCGTCAAAGAATGCTGGTTATATTGAACACAAATTTCTGCAGGACATCACAATTTACTAATTGTTTACAGAAGAACAAACAACTCAATTTTCACCTAAAGCTGAACTTATACTTTAACTGCAAAGCAGCGTCTCATAATGGCAACAAAAAGAAAACGGGGATCTTTTACTTCTATTTTCCTTCAAATGAAATGGTTAATTTTCATCTGTCAATAATTGTCAACAAAACACACATTCCTCTCCCAAAATGAACTATAATTATCAAGGTTTATAATTGAAAGTAAAGAACAGAAATGAATAAACTCAAAAACAATGAAAATATCAACATTAACATCAGCAAAAGAGACAAGATAAGTAACTGATACAGGAAACTCCAAACAATAATGTTTTAAAGGTAATTATATGAAAAGGAAAGAAATTCAATAAAATCAATCTCTGTTCACACCTGAACAAGGGGCAACAAGTAAGCAAGAGTCTTGCCCGAACCAGTATGTGACCCCAACACCACACTCTTCCCTTCAAGAACAGCAGGTATCCCTATGCACTGAATCTCCGTGGGCTCTGAAATGCCCATTTCACCCAAAGCCCCCATCACCTCTTCAGTCAACCCCAGCTCCCAAAAACTAGAAACCATTTCCACCCCACCACCCTTCTTCTTTCTTGGCCCCTCACTTTCCCCATATTTACTCTTTTTTCCATTACTCGATGACCCTACGGGCGTAGCCGGAAGGGTAATTTTCGTGCTTTCTTTAAGGTGTCTGTTCCTGAGTCTTTCTAACAGTATTGAGTGCTTTGTGTTTTCTAGTGTTGCTTCATCTGCTGCTGTTTCCGGCGCGGAAATGGTAGTGGTGCAAAGTGGCCGGAATTTAGGGAAAAAGACGCCGTTGGGTGGCCGTGGTAAATTTAATGGAAGTGAGACGTAAAAGGGTCTGTGGAAAGAGAAACGTTTGGGTAGAGAGAGGAGTGAGAAAGTGAGTGCTTTTCCTGTTGTCCCCATTTTTGTATTTCTGTGTGTCAGTTCAAGTTTTCAGGGTTTTGGGTTTTGGGGCCAAGGAAGAAGATAAAGATAATGAGAATGGTGGTTTTTAGGTCACATCCTTGCATTCCTGGTTAATTGTAGATGCAGACCTGAGGTATTAGTAAATGTGCATTTCAGTCCTCAATTATTTTTGTTAACATGGGTTAAAGCTTAGGAATGGCAAAAAAATTCGTTCAACCCTATGCCCACTAAGCCCCTCCCCGTATGGGGCGAGGATTGCCCATCTAACCAAGTAAATAGGACATGTACAAGGTGGGGGTCATTATCACGAAGGGGGAATGAAAAATGTAGTCCCAACTATCCGCCCATTTAAAATTATTTTCAAATTCAAGTTTTTTATCAAATAAAAATTAAAAAGCCTTCTTCATTTTTAAAGAGAATGTGAATTGTTCTTAACAAATTGAAAAAAAAAAATTATTTACCAACCAAAGACATAAAAAAATAAAAACAAAAATTAAAATAAATAAATAGGGCGTGGGACTTGTCTTCGCGTGATCTTGCTTTGAACCCATCTCATCCCGCTTTATTCGGGTATAAGAACACGGAAAAGTGACAAAAATACCCAATAATACAGTGGTGGGAATTGTCGATCATTTCCATACCCGTCCTGTTGTCGTCCTTATTGGAGATAGTGTTATAAAAGGATCGTCTAGGCTTAGAGCTCGAAAAAAAAATGTTCGCCTTGTGGCTAGTTGGAAAAATGACACTCAACTTTACATTTATCATCTAAAGAGCGCCTTGACGAAAAAAGCTTTTTTTGGTAAGTAATATTTTCTCATTTTGAAGTCTAGTTCAATAAAATGCTCAATCATTGCTATAAAATAAAAAAGAAAATAAATCCAAACAAAAACTCCACATAACCCAAACTAGCCCTTCGAGCTTAGCTTTCTCTGCTCACAAACAAAGCATATTAATTTGGAGTGCATATAATTTTGAAAATTATGTTCCATTGAAAACTTGAAAAATACATATTAAATTCCTATAAATTTTTAAGTATGCATTATTTTATTTACTTATTGATCTACAATAATTTAAATACTATTAAAATAGAAAAAAAAATACTTTTTTACGCTTCGTCTAGGTTTGTAAAATTTGAAGTTTAACTTCCACACCTTACGCTTAGAACTTTAGTTTGAGGTTAACTCCTCGACTTCAAAAATAACATTAAAAAATTATTCTTTTTCATACACCCTACATCTCATTCCTACCTAGAAGAAAACTAGGCTATGCTGAGTGTGGAGAGATGTATAGACCCGACACGATACATATCTAGTCCAACCTAATTGGAACAACGAGCTTGTTGAAGACATGTCCGATTTCTATAAGTTTGTGCAATAAGAGGGTTACAACTTGAAAATATGCTTACATGCAAGTGTTATCATGAACTATTGTACATCTAGAATTATTTGATGTACAAAAAACTTGTCGTCAATACACGTTCACAACACCATGCTAAAAACTCGAAAGATGGAAGAAAAGAACGGGAAAATCCAGATGGAAAATATAAAATGAAACAGAACATTGATTGTGGCATTTCTTAGAAGTGCACATAATCTATTCTTCGCACCCATATGAACCAATATATACCATACAGACTCCAAAAGCCACCAGCAGAATTCTCGAGAGAATATATATTATACGATAGACACAAGAAAAGAAAGGCAAAACGAGGGTCGGATCAAAGGTTAGATCATTTGTGAAAATAACTCCCAACAGAAGTAAACAAAAAAGCTCCGAATTAATACATACAAGAGACTATTATCTGATAAATATCCAAGCATGATGAGTAACCTTAGCTTTATCTCAGGCTCCTTGCTTCTCTCAAGCTTCGCCCTCTCCTATACTCAACTTCTGCATCAGAATTTGACGAGCCAATATTATATTTCCGGCCATTTCTTGTAGATCCAGACTCGGAGAATATACAGTCATCATCACTCAGAATGTGGTTACCGGGAGTACTTCGGCCAGAAACATCTCCAAGTCGACGCTGTGGTACTTGATCTAAGATGTAACAAAAGATGTCATTGCTTGAAGGAAGGAGGAACATGGTGAGAAAAATGTGCAATATCATGATAATTAACGAAAATAAAATATCAATAGAGAAACGAGAATTTGTCGAAGATATGAACAATATTGAAATTGATACATTTCTGCCAAATTCTACTTGCCTATTAATTTAATATTAACATTTGCCGTATTTTTAATATTTAAATTCTATATTTAGTATTGTAAACTGATTTAGAACAGCTATTACCCTGAAAGGTTTCCCCGAGGAAAGAGAGGAATCCCGATGAAGACTGAACTTCAATGGAACTCGGCTTGGTGGAGCATAATAAAAATTGCTACAGAACCTTTTGTCTCAGTTGGCCATCTCAGTATCGAAACTATTTTAGAAGTTTCATCATCACATTTTAAACTAAAAAATCTAGAGTATATATCTCAGGTTAGTGATAGTTCACCTTTAAGACCATCGCATAAACCTGGCAATCCAGAGGGTGTCCCTTCGTCATCATTCAGTCGTGCTTTACCATATTGTGGACTTGAAAATTCTTCTCGTGTTTTCTCCATTTTTGCTCCATCTACTGCTGGTGCAGTTAAAATATGTTCCTCTTCGACTGGTTTATTGGAGGTAAAAGGCGTCATTCTGAAGGAGTCCTCTAATACATCAGAAATCTCCACATAGTGAGTTGTAGTGATGACTTCATCTGCACTGAAACCAAAGGATGCTCTGTATGCTTCTATTTCCTCAACATCTGTTTTGCACGTTTTGTTCTGCCTATTCTGGTACCCATTTCCACCATTTGAGTAAGCATCAGATTCTTTGGAAATACTGAGCCTACCACCAGCATGAGAAAATGAGGACTGATCCAAGTAGAATTGAGCGAATGTCTCGGGGCAGAAGAAATTGGAATCTTGACGTGACTTGGAGGCACCTGCCGGTTGAAGCCCAAGTAACCTGGCTGAATCGGAATTTGTGAATTCAGTGTCTTGCGTAGACATGGATGGATCCCATTGAGGGGGAAACTCTCGTTCTGGAAAAGATGATGATAAGTTGTCACTTGACATTCTTGAAATAGGTGATCTGAGAGTACTTGCAGGGCTTCCTGGATAGAGAGAATATGTTGCTTGAAGATCATTGCTGGCGATATAACTGGTCTTATCAGTGCTTTTGAGATTGAGGGTAGATGAAAGGAAATGGGCATAAGGTACGTCTGGAGAAGAGGGAGTAGTTAAATGTGCCAATTCCGGTGGTGGAGTCAAAGGAGCTGTAGATGGCTCCGTTGTGAAAGTCGAGAAAACGGGAGGAGATACCAGCTGCGTCTCGTGGGCATATGGACCCGTGACATACATAGTAGATGAAGGACCTCCAGGTGAATTGGCAGACAAGAAACAGTTTGGTGACTGAGCTGTTGATGGAAGTGCTGAATTTGAGAAGGATGCAGGTGAAGATGGTGGGGGAGTCAATCCAGTGGTCTGATTAGGCAACCCACCAGCCTGTTGCCCAGTTGCTTGATTTGCTAAAGCATTGGCCTCAGGCATGCGAGAAGAGGGTACAATACGCTTTTTACCTTTTTGTTTCCCCAAACACGATAATCCACCCCAACATCCTGCCCATCTCTTCCGCTGTCAATGCCATAAAGTATTAATGTCATCCCACACACACAAAATGTTCTTAAACAAGATGTGACAGAAGAATTAATTGATATGAAATTCAAGTGAAAATGACACAGGCCAACACAGGAAAAGAAGAACATACGTATTAGGCATCATTATTCACATGATATCAGCTCCTTTTCCATTTTAAAACGTTCCACTCCTCAACCCCTTGGTGGGGACGGTGCAATTAAATGCTACAATATAGTACTGACACGGTGCTCCAATGGTGTCAAAGTAGCTTTCCACAAATAAGAATTGGATATTTGGTGATGTAAAACCACACCAAAATTATATATTACCAATAAAATCGCTGTTTAACGCCCCATACTTGAGCAAAACTTCAGATCTCAATATCAGAAGGAAAAATAGAACTTTTTTCTTTGTTTCACACGATTAGGTTTCAGAGGAAGCAGAGAGAGGATGAGAGCTTCTTGTCATAGTTACTTCGGCCTTATTTATTAGTTTCCAATTAAATCTACTACTTGGTCATCAAGTTAGAATTGGGTTACAAATATTTATAAATGTAGGCATTCGTTTAGTGAATTATTTAACAATATTATTCAGATTTTATTGAGGTCTACCTCAATTTGATGGTAATTACTAATCCAAGGTCCCATTTGTTTTGCCTTAAACCCATAACTTTTTATGTAAATCAAAAGCATGCTTTCCTCTTACATCGCTTACACACATCAAGCTGTTTCCAGTTACAGTTTACAAGAAACAATGCTAGAAATTGTTCTATTATTACAATAGATATTAGATCTCAAACACAAATTTTGGATTGATTCGAAAAAGAAATTTTTCCTTCTTTTCCAGCCTTTCTCAGTAATAGTCCGATCAAATCATAGAATGGGAAATACAGGGTAACCATCAAAATGCAACTGGTCATCATTAATTAAAATTTTGTTAAGATCGCCCACCACATTGTGCCCAGCTATCAAGGTAGAATAAAATTGAAAATAAGCCAATACCAAAAGGGAAGGCCAAAAAAAGAAAGTTAGTTTGAAGATTTGTTCAAGATAATAAAATTTCCCACACGTGAACACACCAAATGGACTCCTAAGGAGGTCCATATCTATATATCTTTCTGTGCAAGTATATATAAATATCCAGAAATCAAAATACCCGAGGTGCTGGTGGTTGCTGAGGCTGCAGAAAACGAGTCTGCTCTGACCCCATTGATGAGTTCAAGTGTGGAGCACAGAGTACTGAATTCTCCCTTTGATTTCGTTCAAGGGGTAAATATTCAACCCAATGCCCCTCACAACTCTTCGTCTCCTATCTGCTCATCCACATTTCAT